TTGAACTATTAGCGAAAGGAAAGTCAATGATATCTTATCGGGTATAATCGACGCCGATATTTAAATGGAAAATCCATTGGATTGCGTAAATGCACGCGCAAGCTGGTTTGTTAACTTTCTGGTAGTTAGATATCAATATTGCAAAACTATAATAGCACGCGATTCTCTATCATCGAACATATCACATCGTCCACAACGCGTAATCCTCCATGTATATATATATATATATATATATATATATATATATATATATATATATATAGATACTGGTATATACAGAGAACGTAATGAGCCGTCTAGCAGATAGTATTGCTTTTCTCATCTTGAAAGATTATCCAGCGATGCGGCTTCTCAAAGGAAACTATCGATTCGCGATGCCCGCTTGTAATTTCCTACGTTTCATCCCAGCATTACCAGGTACGCTATCCATACCTACTACATATTCCCTCTACGCTTACCTATCTATCTACTTATACGCATTATATCTAGTAAAGTACTTCTTAGAGATACATATGTTTTTCTTTTTAATTGGAATTTAAACTCCGTCAAAACGATAGATAGATAGGATAGACTTAAAGTACTTAGATAGATGTGATAGTACCTAGCGTTAAAACGATAGATAGATAGATGGATGGATGGATAGGTAAATCAATGATTGGACATAATTTTCTTTCGATTATAAATAATTTCTAGATATATATATATATATATATATATATATATATATAAATATAGGTATATCTATCTAACAAGAAAGACCTGTGATATCACTATTACTCTTTCGAAATGTAATTAGAAACAAAAATAAAAAAAAAAAAAAGAAAAAAAAGAGGAAAGTAAAAAAGAAACATTCTCATCACGTATCGAATGAAAAACGTTCGTCTCGTGAAATTTTTGTCAAACGTGACGATTAGACGTTTGCCGTATTTGCGTAAAAAAAAAAAAAAAAAAAAGGGGGGGGAAAAAAGAAAGAAAAAAGAAAAGGAAAGGAAAGATACTTCGGTCACAACAAAAAAAAAAAAAAAGAAGAGAAGAAAAAAGAAATCACCAAAAAGAGATTAATATTGTCGTGAACATGGGAACACGGACAGGGTGTCGGGAGGGTGGGAAGGAGATAGAGGGGGTGGGGTTTCGACTGGGTCCGCGCGAGAACGCTTCGATCGGCACTTCATTTGAACATAATCCAGGGTTTCTCCGTGCGCATTTGCGCAATAAGCATTGCGGTACCCACAGTAATGGCGACGAAATGATTTGCCGCACACGTAGCGTCGAAGAGCGGTGGTTAAGGTAACTTCTCTCTCTCTCTCTCTCTCTCTCTCTTTCTCTTTCATATACACATAAATACACGCATACACATACACGTATACTTTTATCCTTCTTACGTTCTCGCTCCCGACACTTTTCTAATGGCCACAAGCACGTATTATTACGCAGCGTTCCATAGCGATATCTAAGCATGGAAAAATGCAATATAAACCCTCTTTGAAAGTGGTAAAAGAAGGCTGAGGTAAAAGAAGAGAGGAGGAGGAGGAGGAGGAGGATGAGGAGAAGGAGTAGGATGAAAAGGCAGAAGTAGGGATAAACGTCTACCATCGACTTGTAAGTACTTACTTTGAACAGACAGAGAAGGAAGGAAGGAAGGAAGGAAGGAAGGAAGGAAGGAAAAAGATGAGGGGGGTAAAAAGAAGGTGCAAGAGGGGAGTAGCCGTTACACCCAAGGGAATGGATATTGCGGTGTAAACGTTAAAAATGTCGTCAGAGGGAACGAGTATCTCTTATGAGGATAAGGAGGTGGATGAGGGGAAGATAAAAGGAAAGGAGTAAGAGAAAGAGGAGGAAAAGGAGAAGGAGGAGTTAGAAGGAAACGACGAAAACGAGGAAACCAACTAACTCGTAGGATCATAATATACCTACTACGAAAGTAATACCTAACGTGCGCTTTCATGGAAAAACGAATCTTTCTCCTTCGTATAATCACTTTTAATCAATATAATGTCATTTTACATGACGTTCATTATTTATCCGTCAATCCACAAATTTTTATTCATTTCGGAGAACGTTAATTCATAATTTCAATTATATTTTCGTTTATCGTTTCTTCTTTATGTTTCTTTTTTTTTTTTCTTTTTATTTTCTTTCCCTCACGTATCGATTATATTTTTTATCTCTCTCTCTCTCTCTCTCTCTCTCTCTCTCTCTCTCTCTCTCTCTTTCTCTCTCCCTCTCTTTGTCTCTTTTTTAACGACGATCTCTCATAAATTATGTGAAAAAAAATCTGGTAGAAATCTCGACGCTGGTGTAAGTACATAGGTAGATAGATACCTACGTTAATCAATGCGTGAGTAAGAGAGATATGGCTAGAAATAGTTAGAGGGAGAGAGAGAGAGAGAGAGAAAGGGAGAAAAAGAAAGAGTGAAAGAGAGAGATTGAAAACAACCCCTTCTCGTGGAACTATCTACCTATCTACCTACCTACCCCCCGAGAGTTACGGAAAAGTTAC